AATAGATGAGAATAAGAATAATGCAATATTTCTTTTCAGCACTGTAGCCAGGCTGAGAGAGAGCCACAGCTCGATTGAGCCTTCTATTCCCATAGCACTCAGTAGTAATGATTTTATGTGCTTTTTTAATGATAAAATTGCTACTCTTAGAAACAAAATTAACGACCTCTTGCCTTTGACCAGTATAGCGTTAACAACAGCTCCCGGAAACCTAAGTTCTAATGTTACACTAGGGGTGCCCAACCAGTCGATTTGGAGATTCCCAGTCGATGGTGAGATGTGTCTAAAAATAGAACAACCAGTCGATCGGGAGATTCCCAGTCGATCGCGAGATGTGTCTAAAAATAGAACAACAATATTCGGTTTTATCGTTAATGTCCTAACATAATCTTCCTGTGCCCGAATAATGCACTTGAACGCATCAAAGCTTTGTGATTGGCCGGCGTGACCCCATGTGTCGGGGCGTGGCTGGTGGGCAGTGGACACTAGTTTGCTGACGTTGTCCGTGTCAACAGGAGTGACAATCCGCACACACAAGACCGCAATTATGGCAGAAGCAAAAAAGCCCAAAATATATCATTTTCACTCGGAGTGGGAGGATAATTATTTTTGTATCTATTCCAATTCAAAGTCCATCTGTCTCATCTGCAATGCGAGCGTGGCTTTATCGAAGAAGGGTAATTTAGGAGCGGCATTTCAAAACAGTGCACAAATGCTACGAGACGGAATTCCCTCCTAATTCTGCCCTACGCTCCCAAAAGGGGAGGGGCCTGAAAGGACAAATGCACAGCAGTCCATTTTCACCAGGCCCAACAACAAGAGCAAGGCTGCTACCATAGCATCTTATCGTGTCAGTCACGTTCTTGCGTAACACATGAAGTCTTTCAAAGACGGCGAAGCTGTCAAAGAAGCATTCCTGGAGGCTGCCGACGCGCTTTTTGGGGACAGTAAAAATAACAGTAGCATTTCAACAGGTTTTTGATATAATAAAAACTCAAGTTAGATATCGTTATTAATCAGCTGTAAGTTTTAGTTTGTTTGAACTTATTCATTATAATTATTGTACAAAATGGTATAAGAATGCAAACATTAAGATCTGTTCTGTTTAAATTGATTATAGTTTATTATCAATTCAGGTTAAGAAACTAGTGTTGCTTGCATCCTATTTTTTAAAGGCATTTCTTTTTGTAATCTACTAAAATGCAACAAAAAAACGGTTTGATTCTATTAATTTTGTCTTTTTTATTGCACTTTGGCAGCAGATTCCTGTGTAGCTTCAGATCTGAGTTGTCTTATTAGTAAGCCTAATTTATACTTTTGTAGCAACACTATTTTAAAATAATGACAAAGAAAGGGTTCAGACAGAGTCTTTTGTTTTTTCCCTGCGTCATATGTGGCAGCACTGTTCAATGTTTCTTGAAAACATTCCACTGTAGTATGTGACGTGTGAATAAACTCCAACTCTGTATCAACAACACTGTTGTGTAACTTCAGTTAAATACTTGTATGTGTGTAGATTAGAAAGAGATAAAATAAAGGATCTGCAGTATTTTATGAAGTATTAATCGTACAAAGGTCAGTTTTATAAGTAGAAGTGTGTATTTACCTGGTAGTAGGCTGTCAGTAATGGCTACACCTCTCTATTTGGACTGGTAGATCTCGGCAGACTGGCAACTTTAAAAGTAGCTCTCGGTTCAAAAAAGGTTGGGCACTAGATAGTAAACTAGAATGCTTTTCAGCCATAAACCTTGAACAATTAAATTCAATGATTCTCTCTTCGAAACCATCAACGTGTATGTTAGACCCAATTCCAACTAAGCTGTTGAAGGAAGTTTTTCCATTAATTAGCACTTCTTTATTAAATATTATGAATATGTCTTTATTATCAGGCTATGTTCCACAATCATTTAAAGTAGCAGTGATACAACCTCTTCTTAAAAAGCACAACCTCGATCCAGAGGTTTTAGCCAACTATAGACCTATTTCTAATCTTCCGTTCCTCTCAAAAATTCTTGAGAAAGCAGTCGCAAAACAGTTGTGTGATTACTTAAAAAAACAATGATTTATTTGAAGATTTTCAGTCTGGCTTTAGAACACATCATAGCACAGAGACAGCTCTGGTTAAAGTCACAAATGACATTCTAATAGCCTCAGACAAGGGACTTGTCTCTATTCTTGTCTTGCTCGATCTCAGTGCTGCATTTGATACTATCGACCATGATATATTATTGCAAAGACTAGAGCACTTAGTTGGCATACAGGGAACTGCTTTAGGCTGGTTTAGGTCCTATCTATCTGAACGCTCTCGGTTTATGTGTGTCAACGATGAATCTTCCATGCAAACCAAAGTGAGCCATGGAGTGCCACAGGGCTCAGTGCTCGGACCTATTTTGTTCACATTATATATGCTTCCGTTAGGCAATATTAGAAGGAATCCCTGTACATTTCCACTGTTATGCGGATGATACTCAACTATATTTATCCATCAAGCCTGATGAAACCAATCACCTAAATACAATTCAAGACTGCCTCAAGGACTTAAAAACGTGGATGACCTTAAACTTTTTGATGTTAAACACGGCTAAAACTGAAGTTATTGTACTCGGCCCAAAGAATATACGAAACAAACTATCTAAAGATATAATAGCTATGGATGGCATTAATTTGGCCTCCAGTGAGACTGTAAGGAATCTTGGTGTTATATTTTATCAGGATTTATCCTTTAACGCCCACATAAAATTAATCTCAAGGACCGCCTACTTCCATCTACGCAACATTGCCAAAATTAGACATATCTTGCCTCAAAACGATGCAGAGAAACTAGTCCATGCATTTGTTACTTCAAGGCTGGATTATTGTAACTCTTTATTATCAGGGAGTACCAAGAAGTCAGTTAAGTCGCTTCAGCTGATTCAAAATGCTGCAGCTCGTGTACTAACCAGAGTTAGGAAAAGGGACCACATTACTCCTGTTCTGGCTGCCTTACTCTGGCTCCCTATAGAACACAGGATATCATTTTAAATGTTTCTTCTCGCCTACAAAGCTCTTCATGGGCAGGCGCCATCTTACCTTAAAGAACTCATTATACCCTACTGTCCTATTAGGGCATTGCGTTCCAAGAATGCAGGGTTGTTGGTTGTTCCTAGAGTCTCTAAAAGTACAATGGGAGCCAGAGCCTTTTCTTATCATATCATCATCAAATAAACATTGATTGATTGATTGATTTTAATTGACTGACAGCCCTAGTTTCATTCCATTTCAAAGTGCTGTTTGATGCTCGGCGTAAACTTCGCGCACTGCCACTCCAACATCCAATCACAAAGATTGAGGACTAATCACAGGGTTTGTCAAGCAAATTGCATGGTGTAGTCCTAAATGATAACTGAGGATTATGGGTAGTGTAGTGTTATCCTAAACTCCGAAAAAATATTTGTTTCAAAAAATACAAAAGCATTGTGTACAATTTAAACCAATCAATGTTGTGTAATTAACAAGGATAATCTGGTGTTTTTGAGTTGATGAGCAGTGCAGATATCACTGTAAAATCAATCGACAGTAAGGAGAATACTTACTTCCGGGTATAAAATTCTCCGTTATCCAATGGGAATGGACGCTCACATTGTCTGTAACTGCCGCCGACATGGACCGATGCGGTGCTTCCCTGAGCGTCAAATACCGCCGCCGATGGGAATACATTGCAATCAGTTGAAAGCTCTTTGCGTCCGTTTATGAAGCTGAACGAGACTCGGCGCGTCACAACTGCACGCCAAAGGACCCTGACCAAGCGTCGTTATTGGACTATCAGGGAGTGAGACTGTGTTGGAACTTCACAGTCTAATCTCCCGACCTGATATTTTTATTTTATATTCAATCAATATCTTTTTGGAAAGGGAAACTGTGCGCAAACAGCAGAAGATATATATATATTCATTTATTGAAAATGAAAAAGGGGGAAAAAAGGGCAGGGGCTCAAGCCCACTTTGATGTCTATCGGCGCATTTCCACTGCAGCGCGTATCACGGTTTAAGCATGCCGTGCCAAACCCGCCCGTTTTTTGTTGTGTTTCCACTAGTAGTAGTTCTAACGGGTACTTTTTCACAGTTTTTCTGGCCCTCCAAAATCGTGGTTGTTTCTGGGCCAACAACCGGGCTGAATATGCTAAACTAGTGACGGCAAGGGAGCTACAACTACATTAAAATGAACATATTTTACCGTGATTTAATTGTAATACACGTTTCAAAATGATGCCGAAGTCACAACGTACTGATACCGGTTAGTAAAAACCATGAATTAATGCTTTGACAAGTCTGCAGACAGACGGCAGGCGAAAAACCTTTTAAGGCTAAGCTAACTCAGTATATGTTCCGACCATCCACACTCACAACAACGGCCTATACAGACATAAATAAACCAGCGACATGTACTTGTTTAACTTTTGTCTAGTTTCTGAACAGATATGAGGAGCTGTGAGCTCTGAGTGCTAACAGCTAACGGCTGATGTTGGTTTTGTGTTTCGCATTGAAGATGACGTCACGGCTCCGCCTACACTGCGTTACTATAGTTACTGCCCCAGTTCCTAAACTGTAATGGAAACGCAGCATAAAGTGAGCCTGGCCTACCAAGGCCTAACGATACCGTACTAAGCCATGCGAGGCCCTGCAGTGGAAATGCGCCATATGTGTGCACGTGCCTGTTGGCAAGTAGTTAACTTGATAGAATGTTAGATAGTTGTCATAAAAGTTGTCACACGGATTCAATGTCGTGGCTTGCAATGTAAATGCTACAATCAACAATTTTGTCAGAGGAGACATGAGCAGACGGTAGAACCTTTTTTCTTTACCTTAACCTTAATTCTGTCAGTTTGTTATTGGGTCTTACCAAGTCTCGCTTGGAATATTTTCACCTCTCACAGCACAGTGGCATGGCTCTGGTTTCTCCGGCTACACCCACAGGGCTGGTATTTAAGTCCGGTCCTCCTCCCAGTCTTCATCAGTCTGCAGCACGGAGAATAACACAAGTGAGTCTCCCGCCTCAGGAACCATACGGCTGAGTGGACTGCAGCCTGCACAGAAACATGCATGTGAAATCTTCAGACACATTCTATGTTCTCCTGCTTATTATCTCATCGGTAAGTTTGATTTTAAGAATCACATTTTCTCTGATGAAATAAAACGTGATTTGGGGATGGACTTATATCTAGATGACGGTGTTGTGCTGTGAAAATGTGCAAGGAAATGGGCATTTAAGTCTGCATGTGAATCTTTAGTGTGTAGTCATTCATCATAAAGAGCCAAACTTGTGATAATAGAGTTTAGGATTGTTGCATTTGGTAACAATGTAGAGAACTTCTGTCAGTTCTTGCACCACAATACTCAGAAGTATTTTTCTTCATTATTTCCCATCTGTTGCTCTCATGTTTTCTTCCTTAAACCTGCTGCCTCTATGCTATGAATGCACTTATTGTAAGTCACTTTTGATAAAAGTGTCAGCTAAATGAAATGCAATGTAATGCTGGGCTGGTGCTGAACAGTGGAAGGAAACAAAACATGGAAAATATTTGCTGGCCCATTTGGTCTCAGTCTGCTGTCGCCATCCTGTGGCATTCTGTGCAGCCATATACCAGACCAAAACAATAGGAGCCTCTGCTCTATGTAAAGTGCATTCTCACTTGACCTCTCACATTGTCTTTGGCAAATTGATATTTTCATACTCATTTAATTGTGTTATAGTATATTTATGGGGCATTGCAGTAAACATGTTTGTTTGCCATGTTTTCGGTAGGCCACTGCAGTTATTTTAGCTGAGAATCTGTTTTCCTTATGTTTGCTTTATGTTCTTTTTCTTGTACTCTGGCTAGCCAAAGTCACTGTGGGGTGTGGGCAGAACTTCATTTGTCCCAAAAACCTCAAGTACACCAATTTCTTGACACACATGTCCAATTTTAAGATGAACATGTCATCATTTCTGATAGAAAGAACGTTTTTCATTTGCTTGCTCAAGTAGTTATAGTCATCTAAATGTGTCCAGCTGGGGGTAAAACATGAGAAAGTGCCTGCTTGTTCTCCCAAACCTTAGAGGTGATTCAAAATAAGAGGGTTGCAGCTGGAAATCACAGCATGTACTGTATCTTATTGGTCACTTGGGAACAACACAACAAACGTGAAGACAGCCATAAATAAACTTGGTATGGCTCTATAAATTGCTATGTTATATGTTAACAAATAGTTACATGTTTGCCAATCCACATGCACACTAAATGATCATTAATTAAGTATACTATCTGGCACTTTAGCACTTCAGCAAATGCACCTCTATGTTCTAATGCTGCTAGATTATGACACAAATCATAATAAGGATATCTGTTTATTCCTGAGACCACAATTACTCAACACAATCATCTATTTAGAAAATGCAAATGTATACAATTCAAAGTTAAATGCACCATTCCGGTGCACATTGAGTGCAAAATGAAAAGGCTAGATCTCTTTTGTTTGCTCTAGCAAACAATTGAATCATTAACACATTAATTGTATTGATGTGAATGGTGATGGCGCTGCCATGGATCCCTACAAAGGGATCCCTAGCCCTACTGTGTCCTTTTGTTGTTTGCTGCTTGACTTGAGGTTTACAGTGGGTTTATTAGTGCTCATTTAACTTTCTAATTCTGTTTGAGAGGGCTGAGTGGGAACTAAAAACAATGAAGTTGAAGGCTGTAAAACTCAAACAATCAGAATCGGAATACCTTTATTAGTCCCACGGAGGGGAAGTTTGCGTAGTTACAGCCGGAAAAAGAGCCACAGACAGCTTAATGTTACATATGTTAAATATGTGACATACATTAAAAAAAAGTACTAAGTTATGATATAATAATAAATATAATAAAAAATAAAAAGTTACATAATTAAAAAAAATACACATCCTGTAACAGTTCTTAGGATTTAGCAGCCAGGTATATATTACACAGTTATTAGCGGCATCTATATATATTGCACATCTAGCACATAGTTTGTTGGTATTTAGCAGCAAGGGGTGATATAGTCTGTGTTGTGGTGTGTGTGTGGGGAGTCAACTAGGGGCTGAGACGCTCAGGTCAATGCTGTTCCTGCTGCTACTTGTTTAATGTGATTTTTTCATCTATGGTTAAGTTAAATATGACCATACAACTCCCCTATTTAAGTAGCTCAATCTTTTTAATTTAGCTGAAAACAGCACTGGTTTTGCACAAAATGGTCCATAACGAAATGCCTCATAACGTCCAAACACACTTCCCAATTAAGGTCTGAAGTGACCAACTACCCAAACCAACACTTTGTGCAGAAAGCAACAACCATTAATCCCACAGTTCAATGATGATCAGTGTTTAAATATCCAATGGACTGAATCCACATCTCTCATGTATTATTTCTCAATAATAGTTCAACACATTACACAATTGATGTAAACCACCAATTCAAATGTTGACTTTATAAGTTCAGTTAACCAAAATATATGTATTTCTAGAACATAAACAGTGGTTTTGGTTATTAAAACAGAAAATATATATATTTTCTGTTATAATTTATTTGGTATTGTATCATTATTTTAGCCTCTGTATATGATCTTGTTACATACTTAACTTTAGGGAATGTATAAACAGTATGTATTATTTTACATATATATTATATATATATATAGGGATTTTTATTAAAAGCCATGCTTTCAGCTCTCCTGTGTGTGTGTGTGTGTGTGTGTGTGTGTGTGTGTGTGTGTGTGTGTGTGTGTGTGTGTGTATGTGTGTGTTTCAGACAGTGGCCCAGGACTGTTCCCAACCCTGTTCCTGCTCTGCAGCCCCCCCGCCCTGCACGCTGGGCAGCAGCCTGGTGCTGGACGGGTGTGGCTGCTGTAAGGTGTGTGCCCGGCAGCTGGGGGAACCCTGCTCCCTGCTGGAGCCCTGCGACCACCACAAGCAGCTCTACTGCGACTACAGCCTGCTCAGCGACTCTGACACCGGCATCTGCATGGGTAACTCTATAACAACAGTGTTGATGTGTCTCCCTCTAGTGCTAATACTCAGCTATGGTTTTCTCTTGTCAGGACATTGTATATATTATCATTTAAAAAATAATGTTTTATTTTTTACTTTTGGGAATTACCTTAATATCAAATACAATGCAAATAAATAAAAGAGAAAGATGTTTTTTTACTGAAGTGTATTTTTCAGCGGTTCTCAAACTGTGGTCCGCGGACCACTGGTGATCCGCGAGGGTACTGCAGGTGGTCCGTGGAAAAAAGCTAAATAAAATCCACTTTTTATTATCAAGGATTTTCGGGGACCAGCTCATATGTGACTCGCTCTATCAAAACCAGTCGCATTGACCTGAAGACACATTTTGAGTTGTATACACTGTCAGGAAAGAGGAGATTCCTAGCTTTCTAATGATATCAGGCAGTGGGGTAGTGGTCATTGGGCTCATCGGACATTTATGAGAGAAAATCTCTAATGTCCGAGTGCAAATGAATGCACCACAAGACACGAGCCTTGTAACCCCTCCCCCGGCCCTGGCGCGAGCGTGGAAATATGATTGGCGGCGATTTCATTTGAACAGGACGGCGCAAAACGAGAAGCATCCGGACCAAAGTACTGTAGACAGAAGGAACGAGGTATTTGCGGTCTACAATGACAGAGAAGAGACTTTCAAGTTTGGCTGTACTCAGCATTGAATCAAAACGCACTAAAGCTTTGGATCTTAATCAGTTTGTGAGGCGTTTTATGGGCTCAGAACAGTCTCATAATACACACATGCACACAGAAGGATTCACAGTTGTGTTTTTCAATGCACACACAAATGTGTTCAGTTTCATATGCATGTAAATAAAATCCAAATACAGAAAAAAGTTTTACATATATATTTTTGATCCTCACATATTTGTTTTCCGTTTAAATCCTCTGAACCTGTAAACACAAGCCGCTCTCTGTGCACGGATCGCTGTGCATCTGTGTGTGGGTTTTTGACACTCCCCTGACGGTCAGCCGATTCGTACTTGTAATTTTTTCTATCTATAGCCAATCAGATGTCTCCTCCATTTTAAGCCAATCACATGAGCGCGCCCCCACGAGGGTAGATTTCTTGCGTTCATGACGTAGCGCTTCATGTACGCATTTTGCGCTGTCCGGAGCTGACAGGTCCATGGAGCCTGCCTGCAGGCGCTAATCTCAGGACACCTCCACTATCAGTACATGGCCACTTTCCGAACAGGAAATGCACGCAAATACAAGCCTTTATATTATTAAGGTACAGCGCCACTTTCCGAACCATTGATGATGCTTGTGTACACAAAAACGGCAGGCAAAACCGTTTTAAATGTGTGTTTCCTGTATGGCGAATACAGCTGCTTTATTTATGTCTGTATGAAGTTGAAGGGGGATAATGACCGCCGGACTCATGTGATTGGCTTAGAATGGAGGAGACATCTGATTGGCAATAGATAGAAAAAATTACAAGTATCGGCTGAGCGTCAGGGGAGTCTCAAAAACCCACACACGAATGCACAGCGATCCGTGCACAGAAAGCTGTTTGTGTTTGCAGGTTCAGGGGATTTAAACGGAAAACAAATATGTGAGGATCAAAAATACATATGTAAAACTTTTTTCTGTAATTGGATTTTATTTACATGTATATGAAACGGAACACATTTGTGTGTGCATTGAAAAACACAAGTGTGGATCCGGAAATACAAGTGTGAATCCTTCTGTGTGCATGTGTGTATTATGAGACTGTTCTGAGCCCATAGCGTTTTGCTGAACAGAATGGTAATCACCGCATCATAACAGTGATTGACAGCTGATAGGAATAATCCATCCATCCATCCATCTTCTCCCGCTTATCCGTGATCGGGTCGCGGGGGGTAGCAGTTCCAGCAGAGAGCCCCAAACTTTCTTTTCCCTGGCGACATCAACCAGCTCTGACTGGGGGATCCCAAGGCGCTCCCAGGCCAGCGAAGAGATATAATCCCTCCACCTGGTCCTAGGTCTACCCCTTGGTCTCTTCCCAGCTGGACGTGCCTGGAACACCTCCCTAGGGAGGCGCCCAGGTGGCATCCTAACTAGGTGCCCGAACCACCTCAACTGGCTCCTTTCGACGCGAAGGAGGAGCGGCTCAACTCCGAGTCCCTCCCTGATGACCGAACTTCTCACCTTATCCCTAAGGGAGACACCAGCCACCCTGCGGAGAAAACCCATCTCGGCCGCTTGTATCCGCTATGATAGGAATAATATGATTGTTAATATTATCATATTAATTCAGACAAACATCGATGAGACAGTTAATGAATGTACTTATTGCAGCAGTCTCCATACATTTGGTACCCCTGGTCTAAGAGTGGGGATGCCATCCCTCAAAATCTCCTGCCACCCCATGAATATTTTTCTAGATCCAGTAGGCTATATTTTTCTAGATCCAGTAGGCTATATTTTTCGTTTCGTTTAATAAGTTCATTTCAGGACGAATTTGGGAGTTTATTTTGAGATTTAGAGAGAGAGAGAGATATTTAGAGAGAGATTTAGAGAGATATTTAGAGAGAGATATTTAGAGAGAGAGATATTTAGAGAGAGAGATATTTAGAGAGAGATATTTAGAGATTTTATTTTAGATTTTTTTAATTTTTCAAACCACTTTAATTCACAAAGCAAATAACCAAACAGACACATTGACACACATTGTCAGTTCAGACAACGACTGAAAATAAGATCCTCATTCTCCACAGAACACAAAGCATTTTTAACCACATGGCCTCAAATTCTCTCACATTTTTTGTTAAACAAAAGTAACTGTAGTCCGCTTTCAGTCTTGCTTTAACCATCCGCTTGAAAATCGAAACTGCATCGGTATCCAATGATCCCGCAACTGTATTCCTCCTGCTGAGGTAGATGGCCATTTTAGCCTGCCCCAACAAAAAATTCAAAAGCTGACTTTTGCACTTTTGCTTCTGGCTGTACCTCCAACCCAAAATGAACATTGACTTAGAAAAAACCACATTACACAAAATCAACATCTGAGTGAGTAACTGAAAAAGACAAAGGAGTCGACCACATTCTGTAAAACAATGAAAAATGGTTTCCCTCTGTTCACAGAAAGGACAGGCGTCAGACACTGGGTTGATCACTGAAACAAACGCATTAACAGCTACCGCAGCGTGGAGAATCCTCCACTGGAGGTCCCCACCCCTCTTAGTCAGCGGAGGCTTGTAGAGCGCTCTCCACTCAGGCCTCTGAGCCTCCGTCAGGCCCAGGTGGGCTCTCCACCGGGTGTCCAACCCAATCTCACAAAAAAACGTGAAATAACTACTTTGGTCCACAACGTAGGACGTAGTATATCTACAAAAACGCCTCTGAAATTGTAAGATGCCTACGTTTTTTTTCACCATTCATTCCAATGGCTGGCTTCTATGTCACGTGATCTTCACATTTCTCCCTGCAGAAAAAAAAAACATGGCCGACCTTCGTTTTATTCTCGGTGTAAAATGCCTATTTTAAGGTTAGTTTGGTCATTAAAATGCGTTTTGATGTCATTTCATGCGAGAAATATGAGTTGTTATTTAAGATTATGTGTGCAGTGGGTGTACATGATCTTTAGTTTGCTAGTTATTACGAAGATTACTTCAGGAAATTGTATCCATTCAACGTTTTCATTGTTACCAAGATGGTTGCTAGGGACGCTGCTATCGATATTATTTCTGTTATGTTGTGTAAAATGGTGTTATCTTTATTGCTACCCCCTTCCCCGTCAATGTATAGTGTTGGTCCACAGTGCAAACATATTAGTTATTAGCTAGACTTTTATTTAGCATCTCAAAACACATGTAAACAGCTTCACGCCCGGGAGGCGAAGACCGGCAGTCCGGCTCACTAAAATGTCCGTGCAGAACAATACCCATGAAATGGGATGGGACCACGGCAGACTGTCCAAAACTGGATTTGAACGGGTCCACGCGTCCCCCCCCTCCCCCACCCCGTCCCCAGAACTACACATGCTGGCACGTCTCTACTGGGAATTGTAGTTTTAAAAGACGTTTTCATATTTCCCATTATAAGAAGTTGCCAGTATTAAACCGTGTACATCCCTGGAGGATAGAGGGTGTCGTTTTTCTCATACTGATATTCTGAACAATCTGTGCTGTTGTATTTGCTGTAAAGTGTCTCTACTGTAGGCTAATTTTATTATATGTACAGCACTTTGGCTCGACCAAAAATCGTTTATAAATGTGCTATATAAATAAAACTTGATTTGATTTTGGAGGTTTAGGGGATAGGAAACACTCAAATTTAAAAAATATAATTAATAAATGTTGGAAAATTGCTTGTGCCCAATGGGCAGCATTAATATATACCCACACGACAGCTAAGGTCAGAAGAGCTTTATTTAACAGCTGGTCTTATGTCTGTGACCCCTCCTGTTGTTCATTGATAAGCCTGAAACATGCACTTGTCAAGGTTCAGAGGCACATTTTGCAAATCTGGCAGTAGCCATCGATCAGCTTAAGATAAGATATACTTTATTGATCCCAAGTTGGAAACATTTGCGTTATATCAGCATGTGTATAGTTGTACATATGCAGTGGTGTTTATTTGTAAATCATTTAGTATAATCACACAAATTCTGTGTTTTATATTTAATAATTCTCTGTTCTTTCTTTATTGATTGTTCAATACCTGACAAGGCCGGAGATGAAAAACTTGGGTCACAGGTTCCTCAACAGTGCATCACAAGACATCTTTCAATATTTGTGTACCTCCACCATTAAATTGTCATATTCTGCACATTTCTTATACTATCTAAATCTTATAAGAGTATAATACATATGTATAATATCAGTTAAAATAAGTGCTTCAACATAGTTAACATTCCTGGAGGTATACACAAAGTTTTACATTCATTGCATAACTACACCATTTGTGAATATGTCAATAAACCTTAGAAAATCTTGAAAGGGATGTGCAAAATAGTCATTATATACAGTCTTTA